CCAGTCTTCTCTTCTTTCTCCTTTCCAACTGCGCAGACTCTCCGGACTTCGGAGATAAGGGTAACTTCTCCGGTACCTCTTCCTGAACGGCGGTATGCGGCAATTCAACCAACGCCACCTCAGCTCCAGCTGCATCAGGTTCGGGCTCCGCCTGGTTAATTGCGACCCTTCACTTTTTATCTTTACTGCGTTTGACCGTTACGTCTGTTCAAGCCTCCTTCATAACTGTCCGTGATGTACCCGAATTTGATTAAGTGTTTCCACCTCGGACTGTAACCTTCACTTCGGAACAAGCAACTCACTTCGGTTGCCTCGGTCACGTCGGGATACCGAAGACGACGAATACTCAGCCGCTAATTTCTTACCGATTCGGGGCCTCTAGATGTTTGGCAATATCGATGATCATCACTCCGTATGCCCACCGATATTGGGGGCCTCTCTGTTATCATTCGACTCGGTAAATCGTAATTAAAGGCCCAAAACGACACCAGAGGCGAATTTGATTCCGACATTACCATAGCCTAAAGTCATCCCGGTTCGCGCAATAGACCAATACGACTCAAGAAGACCGAAATGACTCATCCTCCGCTGAAGTCATCCCAAACCGAGGTCAACATAAACCGAGGTCGTCACCTCCTAAAGCAGGTGACGAGGCACCTACACACCCCTATCACGATCTACGAGATTTGTCATCATTCATGTGGGACCCACTGCTCCAACCGCCCACCAAAAGTTACTTTATGCTGAAAATAATACACGGATCCCAATATGTGTATCAAAAAAGGTTACTATAAATAGTTAGCCACTGATTTTTGTAAGGGAGCCGATTCGGAACCCAACAATTTGACAATGAAACACGAAACAGCCGATAAAGGCTTTTCACCTCGGTCCACCTCGGTCCGAGGCCACTGTTGAGTTTTTCCTGCATGATTTACGTTCAAACCACTTGAAATCATCTCTTAACCTCCTCCTTAAATCGTTGTTAAGAATCATACGACAACAACAATACTAACTTAAATTCACCGATATCCTTAAACCTTGAGAATTTAGTATGAT